ATTCATTCATCTGTTGATGGGCATTTAGATTGCTTCCATGACCCGGCTATTGTAAATAGTGCTGCAATGAACATTGGGGTGCATGTGTCTTTTTGAATTATGGTTTTCTTTGGGTATATGCCCAGTAGTGTGATTGCTGGGTCATATGGTAATTCTATTTTTAGTTTTTTAAGAAACCTCCATACTGTTCTCCACAGTGGCTGTATCAATTTACATTCCCACCAACAGTGCAAGAGGGTTCCCTTTTCTCCACACCCTCTCCACCATTTGTTGTTTGTAGATTTTCTGATGAAGCCCATTCTAACTGGTGTGAGGTGATACCTCATTGTAGTTTTGATTTGCATTTCTCTAATAATTAGTGATGTTGAGCAGCTTTTCATGTGCTTCTTGGCCATCTGTATGTCTTTTTTGGAGAAATGTTATACATGGTGTTTCTAATCTCTCTGAAAAAATTTTAATTATATAAATCAATTATACTTATTTTGAAACTCTTTTTCTGTGCACTTAACTCTGTTTCCTCAATTGTTATTTCATTTATTAATATTGTGTGTCTTTTTAAATTTTTTTCTCAAATGTTAGGTAATTCTTCATTGTTTGCTTTTGCATTTGTAAATATATTTTTGCCTACCTATTCTGTTACTTACTATCTCTAATGATTGTGGAGAAGTAATTAGATTGACTCCCATAAAAGTGTGGAAATACCTTGCAATTTAAGAGTAAAGTCTTTCTACTTTTACTGGGGTTTTCGTTCCTACCTGGAGAACTGTCCTGCCTCTCTGGCCTCAGTGTCTACACTCCCTACTTTAGCCTCTCAATACATACCACAACTGCTTAATGTTTTCCACAAATGAGAGAGAGTGACAGGGGTAGACTAAACTACCTGCTCAGAATACAGCATTCCAGTGAATTGCTCCAACAAATACCCTAGGACCCTCTCTCCTTCTTGATCTATTAATTCTTCTGCATGTACCATGGATAATCTCCGGTTTTGTTTTTCTCATAGATTTGATCTTTTTCATAGATATGATTTCTAACATTCAACTTTCTGGCCCACCAATGGCATGCTTTCTTGCTTTCCTGTAGTTTTGTGGATAGAGACTAACACACAAAAACACACCTATATAGTTGTTCATCATTTTATGGAATTTGAAGAGGAGTTATATAGAAGGCTCCATGTACCATCTTGATTTTTTTCTCTCATTTGATTCTTTGGGCATTCTTATTCTATGTTTAGGCAGAAAAAGATGACTTCAGAATAACTTTTTCTCCTCTCAAGAGAGTTGTACAGCTTTATAGTACACCTTTAACTTATCTTCATATGAAGGATTTCTACTCTTCCTATACCTTCCTTTACTAAGTTGGCCAGTATACAGAAGTCTTTTGGGAAGTTCTGGTATCATTTTTATTAGTTGGCTAACTGTGGAAGCTGAGAGCAGGTCATAAATGGCTCAACCATTGATAATAATAATAGTAATAACCATTTCTTGAATATTTGCTGTGTTCCAAGCACTGCATTAGATGCTTTACAGGCATACCTTGGAAATATTGTGGGTTCAGTTCCAGACCACCACAATAACATGACTATCTCAATAAAGCAAGTCACACAGTTTTTTTGGTTTCCCAGTCCAGTGCATATAAAAGTTATCTTTACACTAGACTATAGTCTGTTAAGTGTGTAGTAGCACTGTCAAAAACACAGTGTACATACCTTAATTTAAAAATTCAAAACAATTAGAACAGTAACATCAAAGATCACTGATCGCAGATCACCATGACAAATATAATAATAATGAAAAGGCTTGAAATATTTCAGCACTTAACAAAATATGACACAGAGACATGAAATGAGCAAATGCTGTTGGAAAAATGGTGCTGATAGACTTGCTTGATGCAGGGTTGCCATAAACCTTCAATTTGCAAAAACCCCACAGTATCGGCAAAGTGCAATGAAGTGAAGTGCAATAAAATGTGGTATACTTGTACATACCTATGGCAGAAACTGCTAGCTGACTGTCCAGTATTTATCTTACCTTCACAGGGAAAACATTACATTTCCCAGTCAACTTTGTAGCTAAATAGGGCCCTGTATCTAAGTTTGTCCAGTTAACGAGATGTAGGCAGAAGATGTAAGTCTTCCTAGAAGGCTGCTTAAAGGAAATGGAGTCAGGTGGTAAACAGGGCATCAATTGTTGTCTTTCACCACTTCCTCCAACATGTTGTATGGAGTGAATGTGTAATGGCTGGAGATCCAACAGTCGTCTTAGACCATGAGATGGCCTGAGAATGGAAGCCATACATGGCACAATAGAAATATAGTAGGATCCTAGGTCTCTGGTGACTTGTTGGACTACCATACCAAGCCCTAGACTGCCTAACTCTGGAGTTCTTTTACATAAGAGAATAAACCATTTATATTTAAGCCTCTATAGTCTGGTCATGGTTGAACCTAATTCAAATTGCATCATTACCTTATTTCATTTAATCCTTACAATAACCCTGATTTAGTCATTACATAACTATCATGCAAGTCTGACCCCATTAGTTGAGATGGCAGAGGTGCCATCTTACCTGAGGCTGTGAGACTTTTACTTCTACTGAGGATAAGCTCAGGCTGGCCTTATCTGGTGGAGAGAGACAGACAGCCCTGCCAAGGTTCTGTACCTACTAGAATAAATCCCTGTTTTCCCTTCCATTCCTGCTTATTGTTACCAAGTTCAAGCTTGTACTGCTCGCCGTATGACAGGACAGTAAAACGAGAGACAGGTGTTGGGGCAAGGAAAAGCCACTTATTTGGAAAGCTAGCAGACCAAGAAGATGGTGGACTCATGTCCCAAAGAACCATCTTACCCGAGTTAGAATTCAGGCTTCTTTTATACTAAAAGGGGAGAGGGTGTAGCTGGTTGTTGTTGTAGACTTCTTGGTGCCAGAATCCTTTGTTCTTGCAGCTGTCCACATAGGTTTGGTCCCAATGTTCCTGTAAACCTCCAACATGACAATCAACAATCATTATTTTCTGTTCTGCAACTTTTTATCTCTACATGAATGTAAACATGTTATACTTTTAAAGGTCAAGCCTAGGAGGCAGAGCATTGAGAAAGGGCTATTATGTATATTTGAAGCCATAGGCAACATTTTTACAAAGGTTCAGAGCCAGCATGACTAAGTGTGGGCAACAGAGCACAAAGGTTAGAGCTAAAGGAATAGATCCAATATGGAGTCAGGTTTGTTCTTCTCTTACATACTGCTTTTTGTGGTAAAGTTTCTGACAGAGAAGTATGATGTTGAAAAGTGTACTATTTATTAAGGTATATTGATGTTAAACATAAATATTACCTCAAAAGTCTTATTTTTACTCTATAATTTTGTATATATTCTGCATTTGTGCATTACAGAATAGTTTCACAAGAAGTTTTATTTATCCAGCACTTGAAAGCACCCCATCCACATTTTCCCATCAGTTCCTTCTTTGTTAACAAACCATGTAACTTTATAACCATTCCTTTCTTTCCTTTTTTTTAGTTTCCAACTTTCTTTAATGCTAATAGGTTGTGAGATATGTTTTTTTAATTGAATGAAATATTCTTTAAATTCTATAGTGCTTTACAATTTTCAGAAGTTTCACACACATGATTTCATATAATCCCATAATAATCCTATATTTCCCCACCCTTGTATTGCCCCTCCCCCTTCCCGCTTCCCATGGGTAACCATTAATTTGTTATCTATATCTGTGAGTCTGCTTCTTTTTTTGCTTTATTCATTAGTTTGTTGTATTTTTTAGATTACACATATAAGTGATATCATATAGTACTTGTCTTTCTCTGACTTATTTCACTTAGTATAATGCCCTCCAAGTCCATCCATGTTGCTGCAAATGGCAAAATTTCATTCTTTTTTATGGCTGGGTAGTATTCCACTGTATATATATATATATATATATATATATATATATATATATCTCACATCTTCTTTATCCATTCATCTGTTGATGGACACTTAGGTTGCTTCCATGCTTTGGCGATTGTAAATAATGTTGCTATGAACATGGGGTGTACAATCATTTCTAAGTAGATGATATAAAATAATTTTCAGAAGCATATATTATAGCCAAAAGAAGTAATCATTCTGTAGTTTCAGCTGTATGCACCCATTCTGTGAAGTTAGTTGCTTCTTTCTATTTTCATATATTGTTTGCTAAAACTAAACCATAAAATATAACTATTCTACCCTTTCTCTTTGTGTACCTGTTTTTGGTCTTACAAGAGATCCCCCCAGAGAGTAATACAAGTCTAATAATTTTAGTTAGCATCATAGGGGGACTTGCATATCAAGGTCCGGTTAGATAAGTAAACAGACGAAAGAGGTAGCAAAGACCTGGGAGATAGTAGGCACAATAGATGGTAACTTCTTTTCTCCCCTCTTTCCACCCCTCAAATTTTGTAGCCAAGCAACTGCTTGTTGCTAATAATCAACTAATAAGCTACCAACCTTCAAATGTTGAACAGAATTTTATCACCTAACAGTATGCTTTTTACTCAACAGGTAATTAATAAATATATGGTGATTATATAAATTGTGTTGTTTTCTATAATACCTATATATAGTAAAGCCCAAAGTCAGCTGCATTGGAGAAGAATATGATAACAAATTTTAGATGTGTTGAGATGAAAAAAACAGTCAAAGTGCAAGTGCCCTGTGATCATTTGAAATTTATCAATCTAGAGATTATAACAAAAATCTTGAGAAGAAATGAGATTTTTGAGAGAAAGAGAGGTTGAGTGAATAAAGAAGAGTAGAAAAATGAGAACTGACCTTTTAGAGGCTGGGAAGAGGAAGTCAACAATTACTTGCAATAATGATGATACAAGATGCAGAGTCATGTAGTGTCACAGAAATCAAGGCAGAGAGGAATTTTAAGAAGAGATACTTCAGTCACTGATGTCAAACACTGTGAGATAGTAATTTTTAAAAAGAAATAATAAAATTTCTTCTTTCCTCAGTCTTATTCAGGCTCAGCTAGGATGCATTCCCATACAAGACTTTGCTTTGACACAAGATACTTCGAAGATTTTCAGAAATGGCTCACGAATTACAAGATGTATGTTATAGGATTAATGGATTTTCAATATTTTTCCAGTAAAATAGTATACTAGATTTAATATTGGAAACTTTTTTTTAGGGTTGTCAGATTTTATGGCTATTCAAGAAAAGTTTGCTGTACTGTTGAACAGTTTGATTTTAGCGAAGTGTTTTAGATGTAGACTTTGGGAAAACTCTCTGCATGTATCCAAACAGCTGGAAAAAATCGGTAGGTACTGAATACAGGTAGGCAATGTGTCAATGTCTGCAATTTATTTTGTATTTCACTGTTAGAAAAATTGTTCTAAGATGGTTATAGACCTTTAAGGAAAAATGTGTTTATGGGCCTAAATAAGTTACTATACTTTCCTTCTCTTGAAAATCTGATTTTCATTTGCTTATGCTTAAAGGATTCTATTTGAAATCAATTTGGAAACCTAATAAAAATTAATGTTCTTATTTTTAAATTTGTTCTCAAACAAAGAGTGAAATTTTGTTTTAGTAATTAGGTAACTATGTGTTGTTCTCTCTTCTACTTTTATGACTGTTTTGTTTTGATCTCAATGACAAGGTACAGAGCTAGCAGTCCTGGTCATTCCTAATTCATTACAGAAAATTGTCACTTATTTATATCTTAACTTTTTCTCTTTTTTCAATAACATTTCAATATTAGTAATGATTTTCATAGAGATTCTATAGACAGGTTTCTTTCCTGTCTGTTGGGATCTAGCTCAGGATGTGAACTGAAAAACTCTACACGGTGCCATTTACAAAGACCAGGATATGCCTAAAGCACTTTGGAATTTTTCACTTTGGTGTCTTTGGCTTTGTGACCCTGTTCCTTCTTAGATAGCTAGAACTCCAAAAAGAGAGTTATTTCATGGCTGACAGTCTTATTAGCTTTATAATTTTGTATGCATCTTGGGGACATTAAAAAATTAGGTAATGGGTCACTGGGGATTGTCTAATTATTCCTTAGAACAAAGATCTCCAGCTATTTTGTGAGGAAGTACCACTTTGTATTTCCTTGAAGTTTGAAATCGGTGGGGGAAATCAGTCAGAGAGCTGACCAGTCCTGGGAACTGGGGTGAAGGTGGAGATTGACTGGTGAAAGCAAGGTCAAAGTAGAAGAAAGATTCCTGATTAAAGGCTCACCTTCCTATCAATACATAAGTCCTGGCAAACCAAATGCCACGCCCATCCCACAGAGATAAGAGTTCTGAATTGGGAAGAAGGTTACATACAATATTTAGGAGATTTCAACTTACAGAAAAATTTGAAATTATATAGAAAGATTATTAATAGTATAGCACTAAAACACTTATATTAGAAAAGTAGAAAGTTCTCTAGAGTGATTTCAGTTTCCATGTGATAAGATGAGAAAAAGAACAAATTAAACCCAAAGAGGGCAGAAGAAAAGAAATAATTTTAAAAGAGCATAAATAAATTGAAAACAAAAAAATCAACAAAACAAAAAGGTGATTATTTTGAAATATCAATGAAATTGATAACACTCTAGTCAGACTGATCAAGCAATAAAGAGAAAAGACACAAATTTCCAAAAACAAAAATGTGATATATAACTATGGATCCTATAGATGGCAAAATGATAGAAAGGGAATGCTATAAACATCTAATGTCAATAAATGCCACAACTTTGATGAAATGGGAAAATTCCTTAAAAAACACAAACTGTCAAGAGTCCACTCAAGAAGAAATAGACAACATGAGTAGGCTTATATTTATTAAAGAAATTAAATTTGTAGTTTAAAACCTTACAAAGAAAATCCCAGGCACAGAAGGTTACACTGGTGAATTCTACTGAACATTTAAATAAGAAGCAATATCAGTTCTATACAAACATTTTCAGAAAATTTAAAAGGGAGAGTAATACTTCCCACCTCATTCTATGAGGCCAACATTACCTTGTTATCACAACCTGACAAAGACATTCAAGAAAGACAGACCTCAGTAATATAAAAAAGATATCCCTCAGTAATATAAATGCAGTAATTCTTTATAAACTTTTAACAAATTGAACACAATGATAGATAAAGGGGCTAACATATCATGGCCAAATGTGGTTTATTCTAGCAATACAAGATTAGTTTACCACTTGATGTCAATCAATGTAATTCCTCATATTAACAAACTAAAATAGACCATATGATCATCTCAATAATGCCCCAAAAAGTTGACAAGATCCAAAATCCATTTCTAATTAAAACTCTCAACAAATTTAAAATAGAAGGAAATTTCTCAAATTGATAAAGGACATCTATGAAAAACCTACAGCTAACATCATATTTAATAGTGAGAGACTGAATGCTTTCCTTCTAAGATCAGGAACAAAAAGGATGCTCACTGTAACTACTTCCAGTAAACATTGTACTAGGGGTTCTAACCAGTACAGTAAAGCAAGAAAACGAAACTAAAAGCATACAGATTGGAAAGGAAAGAAGTAAAAATGTTTTTATTCATACATGATCACATGATCATCTATGTAGAAAATTCCATGGAAGGTAGGAAAGGTTTAGCATGGTTGAAGGATGTAAGGTCAATATATAAAAATTAACTTTATTTCTACATACTAGTAAGGAAAATCAGAAACTAAAATTAGAAAAACTATGCTGTATTAGTTTTCTATTGCCATTGTAACAAATTACCACAAACTTTGTGGCTTAAAACAACACAAATTTATTATCTTAAAGTTCTATAGATTAGAAATCTGATGTGGTTCTCACTGAGATAAAATCAAGGTTCGGCAAGGCTGTTTTCCTTTCTAGAAATACTAGGGATGAATCCATTTTCCTGCCTTCAACTTCTAGAGAATACTTGATTCCTTGATCATAGCCCTCTTCCTCTACCTTCAAAGTCAGCAGGTGATCTTGGATTTGGCAAAGAATTTCTTAGATACAACACAAAAGCACGAACTATATAAAAGAAAAAAAGTGGATTTAATCAAAACTTAAAACTTTTGCTTTTCATAGAATACTATTAAAGAAGGAGGAGGAGGAGAAAACAAGCCACCAGACTGGAAAAAAATATTTGCAAAACATATAACTGATGGAGGACTTGTACCTAGAATGTATAAAAAATTCTTATGACTCAATAATAAGACAAACCACTGAATAAAACAATGAGCAAAAGATTCAAACAGACACATCACCAAAGAAGATATATATATGGCAAATAAGCACCTGAGAAGGTGTTCAACATCATTAGTCATTAGAGAAATGCAAATTAAAATGACAACGCAGTACCAGTACACATCCACTAAAATAATTAATTTTTCTTTTTTTTTTAATTTATTTTTGGCTGTGTGCAGGCTTTCTCTAGTCATGGCGAGCAGGGGCTACTCTTTGTTGTGGTGCATGGGGTTCTCATTGTGGTGGCTTCTCTTGTTACGGAGCACAGGCTCTAGGAACATGGGCTTCAGTAGTTGTAGCGCGTGGGCTTCAGTAGTTGTGGCACGTGGGCTCAGTTGCAGCACGTGGGCTCTAGGGCACGCAGGCCTCAGTAGTTGTGGCGTGCAGGCTTCAGTAGTTGTGGCTCATGGGCTCTAGAGAGCAGGCTCAGTAGTTGTGGCACATGGGCTTAGTTGCTCTGTGGCATGTGGGATCTTCCCGGACCAGGGATCGAAATCGTGTCCCCTAGCGTTGGCAGGTGGATTCTTAACCACTGCGCCACCAGGGAAGTCGCCACTAAAATAATTAAAACTTGACAGAGTGCTGGAGAGGATATGGTTCAACTGGAACTCTCACTGTGGGAATGTAAAATGTTACAACCACTTTGGAAAACCATTTGATTGTTTCTTTAAAAGTTCAACATAAACCTACCATGCAACTGGCCCTTTCATGCTTAAGTACCCAAAAGAAATAAAAGCATGTAGACACACAATTCTAATAACCAAGACATTTGAAAACAGCCTAAATATCCATGAACACGCAAATGGAAAATAAATTGTGGTATATCCCATAGTATGGATATATATACTCAGTAATAAAAAGGCATGAAGTGTTGATACAAACAACAACATGGATGAATCTTACAATAATTATACAGAGTAGAAGAAGCCAGACTAAAAAGAAAACTACTTAATTCCATTTAAATAAAAGACTAGAAAATACAATAGTGATAGAAAACAGATCAGTGGTTGCTTGGGGACTGTGTGGGGAGGGGACAGAAGAGGTAGTGAAGAATTACAAAGTGACACAAGGAAACTTTTAGAGGCAATGGTAATGTTTATTAGCTTGGTTGTGGTGATAGTTTCTCATACACACACATACATAAACACACAAAATCACATGTCAAGTATATTGTATGTGAATTATACTTCAGTCAGTAAAATTGTAAAAATAAATAAATCCAAAGGAAACTATATTCACTCACCAAATGAGCAAAAATTAAAAGTCCTGTAGTGGAGATAATATAAGGTTATGAACATTCTCATGCAGTGTTGGTTGGAGCCTAAGTCTCATGATATCTACCAATTAAAATGCACAATCTCTTTAAAACAGCAATTTCACTTTAGCAATTAAATTTATAGAAATATTTCCACATGGATACAAATATAAACATTGTTTATAATCACATAATCTTAAATGTCCATCAATAGCAGAATGATTAAGAAAAGTATGAATTATCCATAAAAATTGATTAATAAAATTTCACTATACTGGAAGAAGCCAGTCTTTCTGACTTTCTAGAATATTGTCAGTCTGGGCATCAGTTGCATTCTATCCCTTCCAAATTGTTGAACACGAACATGTTTTTCACACTTAGTACAGCTGAACAAAAAGAAACAAATATTGACCAGCAAAATTCATGTAATAGAAAAGTGAGAGAATCCAAACAAAAAAGTAAATCTAAGTTCTTATTGAGCACCAGGAAAAAATAATGAATGCAAATTGATTTTCAACAATGTTTATAAACTAAAAATTAAAAATCAGGAAAGGTTATAAGGGAAAATGGAAATGAACATTAAGGAAATAAGAATACTAGGAGTTGTGTCTAAAGATTGAGTAAGAGAAATTCCCAAGAATAGTTAAAGATATGAGTAAGGAAAGGAGTATCATACCCTCATCAGTAATATGTGTGCCTTAAACAAGGTGGCACTAGTTTAGAATTTTATGCTTCTGACAATATCTTCTATTTTGGGATTTGGTTAAAATCATTCATATGAGTGTAAGAATTAAAAATTACAGTTTCTCAAAGCATGAAGAAACAGAGAATGTCCAAAGATGGAAGAACACTTGATGTATTTAAGGAGCAAAATTAAAGCCGGTGTGGCTGGAGAATAGTCAGCAAGAGGGGAATGGTAGGAAATTAAATGGGAGAGGTAGGCTGTGTTCAAGTCATATAGGTAAGGGAGTTTGGCCATAGTAAGGAAATTGCCATTTTATTCTAAATGCAATGGAAAGGCATTGGAAATTTTAGGCAGAAGAGTAAAATTATCTGAATTAGTACAGAAACAGAGAACTCAATTTCTTGAGTTCTCTGTTTCTTTAAAAGTTCAACATAAACCTACCATGAACTCATTTCAAGACAGAAATGCTCAGAGAGCCCTAGCTTCATGAAACAATATTCCCATCCCTGAATAATGTTGCCTTTTTTAAAAACATGAGTATAACCGTAGATGTTTCTTGGTACTTGCTCTATGACATAAGGTAAAACTAAGGGTTGAGACATCATGTGGACCAAAGAATTCCTCTTTCTTTTATAAAGCACATGAGTGTTTTATTTGAGTTTGAAAAAATAAATATGAACAATCAAATAACGTCGCAGCCCAATTAATCCAATTGAGAACATTTTTTAACAACTTTAAAAATAAGTCATTAGTCTGGCTCTTTAAATTTTTCTTTTTTACTAATGTAGTTGTTAAATATTTAAGTGTAGATTTAGTTTTAAGTGGATTGTTTAAAAACTATTTGATTAATTTTCCACAGGTGTAACATTATCAAATGCTATGGTAAATGCAGGTTTGACTACCTTTAAAAAGATAGAAGAAACAGATGCAAGGAAACTTGAACTGGTATTTAATATTTACTTATTCCTAATGTTACCTGAATTCTGTATAAATTCTAAAGCCTGACTTTTGTATCTTTATTTCTGCCAAAAAATGATATCCCTCTCATAGTCATACATATATATATATATATATATATATATATTTTTTTTTTTTTTGCGGTATGCGGGCCTCTAGCTGTTGTGGCCTCTCCCGTTGCGGAGCACAGGCTCTGGACGCGCAGGCTCAGCAGCCATGGCTCACGGGCCCAGCCGCTCCGTGGCACGTGGGATCTTCCCTGACTGGGGCACGAACCCGTGTCCCCTGCTTCGGCAGGCGGACTCTCAACCACTGCGCCACCAGGGAAGCCCAGTCATATATATTTTTAACTTAAGATTTTAGATAATAAGCATGTTAAAACTATTGACTCTAAAAAATATTTTACTAAAAGAGTTTTTAGTGTTGTAATAAGAACATAATGACATAAATATGTTTTAGATTTTAAATAGACATCCCCCGTTTGGAACTCAGATAAAAGAAACAGTGATGTATCTACCAAAATATGAACTTGAAGTGGAACAGGTAAACATTTTCTATTTTTCATATATTTTGATTTTTAGGAATAAAGCTACCCATAGCTGACTTGGAGGTGAGTATGAGTAGTAAGGTTATTTTTAACACTTTTTATGCCTATCCTTTTTTAAAGATTGCAAGATATAGTGATACCATGGCAGAAATATTAGTGACTGTTATATTAAGAAATTTTGAACAGCTACAAACTAAAAGAACAGCACCAGATTCCCACTACGTTACCTTAATCATAGGTGATGCAGATAATCAACTGGTTTCTAAGCACAAAATTATGTAAGTGTGAAATTTCTATTTGTTTTATTTCTAAGCATATACTGTAAAAGAAAAATCTGCTGAGGAAAAGAGTAATAAAATCATGGTGGGATCAATTAAATTACATTTTCCTGATTCTATAACGGGATAGTTTGTCTATTAAAGAAGATACTAATATTGGGTCTGTTGGTTTAGATAATATTTAGTACTCAAATGAACAAAGTGTAAAGTCTATCCACCATGGTTTGAAACAAGTAATAGATGACCTTTAGGAGTAGCTCTAATTCACTGTTGCTGAACTTTCTTATTTTGTTGCTTTTCTCGTATCATTCATGACCTTACTACTCTTTGAGTGCAATCTTCCTCCTACTTACTTCAAAATATATCTTCTATTTCCAAATTAAAATCTAACAAACTACTACCACCATTGTAGGATTCAGGCAACCAGATCCAATAGATAAAGGAGGTACCTTGCCTTATATCTAGTTCTCTAGCATGTCATTCTATAATTTTACTTCAGCCTTTTTTCTAATACTATTGCATATTGATATTTTCTCCCAGGATGTCATAAACAAACTCTAAAGATAATAGTTGTAGCTACAGCTAATATTTTTTGAGCACTTAGTAGGTTCCAGGTATTGAATAGTTTAGTCTTTGTATGAGATAGGTGCTATCATTATATATACTTTATAGAGGAGAAATTTGAGACCAAGGTCATATAGGTAGTTTACAGCAAAAACTAGTTTTGAAGCCAAGCATTCTTACTCCAGAGCCTATGCTCCTAGCATATAACTGTACCTGTAAGTTCAGGATGGCAGTGATTCTGAAATGGGAATCTTCTAATTTTTGCCAGTGTACTGGAACATGGCTTCCTAAAACATCCTGTGCAAGGTTCCTAATGGGACTGCAGTGACTGATAAGGATATCCTTTTAACTGATAATTACTCTCCTGCAACTAGCCATGATACACTTACAGAGAATATATAATTATACAAATCTTTATTCTCTGTGACAACTAAATCTAATGACAGCCTTGACTATAGGAGGCTAAAATAAGTTCAATCACAAAATTGGTTGCTGGTGTTGTGTTATTAGATACAGACTATTTCATATCATTTAAAAAAACACTGTTGAAGTTCTCACAAATCCATGTAACTTATGTATAGCCATTTTAAAGTGGTAGTGATTTAAGGTCAAGGTCATAGGTTATTGATAGCAATTATATATTCAAGCAGGCCTGAAATGATTCAGTGCAACTTAGAACCAGCTGTTGGGTGAACATATAGTTAAGAAAATTATGGTAACGGTAGCTCCATTGACACTCCATTTCCCTATCCTCAGAACTTGGGGAAGGTAGTTTTCAGTCTCACTTCAGTTTACTACCAGATAGGACCTATCTTAGGATCAGTTAGCCCTTGAACATTAATTTATTATTTCATTTCATTTAGTGTTCAAGATCACTATTAAATGATGCATTACTCTTTTTCAGGGATTCTGTTTTGCTAAAAGCTGGAAATTGGGCTAAAAAGATTGATGTGAGGCGAGCTCTTAAATCTGAAGATCTTAGCATAAATCTAATTAGTTCTGAATATGGTAAGTTCATTGAAGTAATGAAGACATGAATGTAAAAAATATGATAGCATTTAAAAATTATTTCCTTTATGTAAAACAGAAAAACAACATAAGTGATATTGTGTAAAAATAATTTATTTAAGTAAAATGAATAATTTTAAAGGAAGCTTCATATATTTGGATATGTAAAAGATGGCAGAGACTAGGATAATAAAATTAAAATTTTATCTGTTCATTTATAGACATTTTATTTTTTAAGATAAAATTCAATTACTGTAGGAACATTGATTTTTATTTTTATGACAGATGTATAAATTTTCATTTGTTATACTTTTTAAAGTATCTTTAAAACATTTCTATTTCCTGGACTTGTTAGACTTACCAGTTCAAAAAGGTATAAAATATAGCAGGTATAAAAACAAATAAATGGTCTCATGTGTGGATTTATGACTTAAATAAGCATTTGTATGCTTTTTTTTTTCTTTTTTCAGTTGGACTTGATATACAGCAGAAATTTACAGTCTTTTACTTAGGACCCAAGAGATTTGGAAATCAAATACTTATGCGAAAAAAACCAGAAACAGAGATGTCCCATTTTAAACATTCAATAGCAGGGCCCAGTAAAGGTAAATAGCTGTATTTAGTCCTGTTTTGCATTAAAGCAAAGATATGGCTGAGGGTAGTATCATCAGTATAGTACTGCTTCATTCAGATTGTGGATACTGTGGAATTAGATGTTTAGACTTTCTAATAATTGCATTAATAATGTACAGTAGGAATTCTTAGTGTTAATATTTGTCAAAATTGGGGTGATTTTTGGAGCAAAGAATTATTTGACTAGTTTTTTGTATACATTTCCCCCTTTTCATACCCACTCCATTCTTATGGCCATGTCAGGGGGGGAGCAAGTGATATACAAGAATTAATGGATTTGATAAGGCAAAGCAGGTGACAATTTTCTTTTTTTATTATGGGACATTCAAATAAAGATGAAAGTAGAAAGAAGTGTATATTGAACCTTCATGTACTCATCACCCACCTTAAAGAATTATCAACTCAGGGCTAATATAGTTTCATCTGTACCTCTGTTTAGATTTCCCCTTGTATTTTTTGAAGAAAATCAGATATCATATTATTTCCTCTGTAAATGTTTCAGTATATATTTGTAAATGGTAAGGATTTAAGAAAAAAATACTGCATTACTCTTAGACATAAAAAGCTAATAGTAACTAATAATTATCCAATATTGAGTTAATGTTCAAACCGCTGATTACTCATAAATGTTGTAGATATATCATCTTGATACCATCTAGACATACCAGATTGGCTCCTGAATCCTTTTGCTCTGTCCCTAGTAGTCTTGACAGCTTCCTTGCTTTGTGAGGTTATATGATGTTCTAGGCTTAACCTTTTATAATTCCAGACCCAGACCTGTAATAAGCCTTTTCTCCAAAGATACCTGGTTTCTTTTCATGATAAATAGTTTTCTGTGTGCTGGAAGAGCTCATTGCCATTGACTGATTATTATCTCTTGCCTTTTCCATGCACAGATTTAGGAAATATGTGATTTTTTTCTTTTTGAGATAAAATACATAATTGATTCATAGTTAAATGTCCAAATCAAATTCAGGGCTATAGTATTTATCCTTAAACTCAATAATCTGTATCTCCTTTCTGCCATGCTGAGAGATTTGTTTTGCAATAACTCCCAAAATGATAGAATGTCACTAATTTTCTTGTTTTTTTAACATCTTTATTGGAGTATAATTGCTTTACAATGGTGTGTTAGTTTCTGCTTTATAACAAAGTGAGTCAGCTATACATATACATATATCCTCATATCTCCTCCCTCCTGCATCTCCCTCCCACCCTCCCTATCACATCCCTCTAGGTGGTCAAAAGGCACTGAGCTGATCTCCCTGTGCTGTGCGGCTGCTTCCCACTAACTATCTATTTTACATTTGGTAGTATGTATAAGTACATGTCACTCTCTTACTTTGTCCCAACTTACCATTCCCACTCCCCATGTTCTCAAGTCCATTCTCTACGTCTGCGTCTTTATTCCTATCCTGACCCTAGGTTCTTCAGAACCCTTTTTTTTTTTTTTAGATTCCATATATATGTGTTAGCATACGGTATTTATTTTTCTCTTTCTCACTTACTTCACTCTGTGTGATGGTCTCTAGGTCCATCCGTCTCACTACAAATAACTCAATTTTGTTTCTTTTTATGGCTGAGTAATATTCCATTGTATATATGTACCATATCTTCTTAACCCATTCATCTGTCGATGGACACTTAGGTTGCTTCCATGTGCTGACTATTCTAAATAGAGCTGCAATGAACATTGAGGTACATGACTCTTCTTGAATTATGGTTTTCGCAGGGTATATGCCCAGTAGTGGGATTCCTGGGTCATATGTTTTTTCTATTTTTAGTTTTTTAAGGAACCTCTATACTGTTCTCCATAGTGACTGTATCAATTTACATTCCCACCAACAGTGCAAGAGGGTTCCATTTTCTCCACACCCTCTCCAGCATTTATTTTTTTATGATGGCCATTCTGACTGGTGTGAGGTGACACCTCATTGCAGTTTTGATTTGCATTTCTCTAATGATTAATGATGTAGAGCATCCTTTCATGTGTTAGTTGGCAATCTGTACATCTTCTTTGGAGAAATGTCTATTTAGGTCTTCTGCCCATTTTTGGATTGGGTTGTTTGTTTTTTTGACATTGAGCTGCATGAGCTGCTTGTAAATCTTGGAGATTAGTCTTTTGACAGTTGTTTCATTTGGAAATATTTTCTCCCATTCTGAGCGTTGTCTTTTCATCTTGTTTATTGTTTCCTTTGCTGTGCAAAATCTTTTAAGTTTCATTAGGTCCCATTTGTTTATTTTTGTTTTTATTTCCATTTCTCTAGGAGGTGGGTCAAAAAGGATCTTGCTGTGATTTATGTCACATAGTGTTCTGCCTATGTTTTCCCCTAAACTTTGATGGTGTCTGGCCTTACATTTAGGTCTTTAATCCATTTTGAGTTTATTTTTGTGTATGGTGTTAGGGAGTGTTCTAATTTCATCCTTTTACATGTAGCTGTCCAGTTTTCCCAGCACCACTTACTGAAGAGGCTGTCTTTTCTATATTTTATATTCTTGCCTCCCTTATCAAAGATAAGGTGACCATATGTGCATGGGTTTATCTCTGAGCTTTCTATCCTGTTCCATTGATCTATATTTCTGTTTTTGTGCCAGTACCATACTGTCTTGCTTACTGTAGCTTTGTAGTATAGTCTGCAGTCAGGGAGCCTGATTCCTCGAACTCTGTTTTTCTTTCTCAAGATTGCTTTGGCTATTTGGGGTCTTTTGTGTTTCCATACAAATTGTGTAATTTTTTTCTTGTAGTTCTGTGAAAAATGCCAGTGGTAGTTTGATAGGGATTGCACGGAATCTGTAGATTGCTTTGGGTAGTATAGTCATTTTCACAATGTTGATTTTTCCAATCCAAGAACATGGTGTATGTCTCCATTAGTTTGTATCATCTTTAATTTCTTTTATCAGTGTCTTATAGTTTTCTGCATACAGGTCTTTTGTCTCCCTAGGTAGATTTATTCCTAGGTATTTTATTCTTTTTGTTGCAATGGTAAATGGGAGTGTTTCCTTAATTTCTCTTTCAGATTTTTCATCATTAGTGTATAGGAGTGCAAGAAATTTCTGGGCATTAATTTTGTATCCTGCTACTTTACCAAATACATTGATTAGCTCTAGTAGTTTTCTCATAGCATCTTTAGGATTCTCTGTGTATAGTATCATGTCCTCTGCAAACAGTGACAGCTTTACTTCTTCTTTTCCGATTTGGATTCCTTTTATTTCTTTTTCTTCTCTGATTGCTGTCGCTAAAACTTCCAAAACTATGTTGAATAATAGTGGTGAGAGTGGACAACCTTGTCTTGTTCCTGATCTTAGAGGAAATGGTTTCAGTTTTTCACCATTGAGAGCAATGTTGGCTGTGGGTTTGTTGTATATGGCCTTCATTATGTGTAGGTGAGTTCCCTCTATGCTTCCTTTCTCAAGGGTTTTTATCATAAATGGGTGTCGAATTTTGTCAAAAGCTTTTTCTGCATCTATTGAGATGATCATATGGTTTTCTCCTTCAATTTGTTAATATGGTTTATCACATTGATTGATTTGCATATATTAAGGAATCCTTGCATTCCTGGCATAAACCCCAATTTATCATGGTGTATGATCCTTTTAATGTGCCATTGGATTCTGTTTGCTAGTATTTTGTTGAGGATTTTTGCATCTATGTTCATCAGTGATATTGGCCTGTAGCTTTCTTTCCTTGTGACATCTTTGTCTGGTTTTGTTATCAGGGTGATGGTGGCCTCGTAGAATGAGTTTGGGAGTGTTCCTCCCTCTGCTATATTTTGGAAGAGTTGGAGAAGCATAGGTGTTAACTCTTCTCGAACTGTTAGAATTCTCCTGTGAATCCATCTGGTCCTGAGCATTTGTTTGTTGGAATATTTTTAATCACAGTCTCAATTTCAGTGCTTGTGATTGGTCTGTTTATATTTTCTGTTTCTTCCTGGGTGAGTCTCGGAAGGTTGTACTTTTCTAAGAATTTGTCCATGTCTTCCAGTTTGTCCATTTTATTGGCATATAGTTGCTTGTAGTAATCTCTCTTGATCCTTTGTATTTCTGCAGTGTCAGTTGTTACCTCTCCTTTTTCATTTCTGGTTCTATTGATTTCAGTCTTCTCCTTTTTTTTTCTTGATGAATCTGGCTAATGGTTTATCAATTTTGTTTATCTTCTCAGAGAACCAGCTTTTAGTTTTATTGATCTTTGCTATTGTTTCCTTCATTTCTTTTTCATTTATTTCTGATCTGGTCTTTATGATTTCTTTCCAACTGCTTACTTTGGGAGTTTTTTTGTTCTTCTTCCTCTAATTGCTTTAGGTGTAAGTTTACGTTGTTTATTTGAGTTATTTCTTGTTTCCTGAGGTAGGATTGTATTGCTATAAACTTCCCTCTTAGAACTGCTTTTGCTGCATCCCATAGGTTTTGGGTTGTCGTGTTTTCATTGTCATTTGTTTCTAGGGATTTCTTGATTTCCTCTTTGATTTCTTCAGTGGTCTCTTGGTTATTAAGTAGCATATTCTTTAGCCTCTGTGTGTTTCTATTTTTTATCGATTTTTTCCTGAAATTGATATCTAGTCTCATAGCTTTGTGGTCAGAAAAGATACTTGGTATGATTTCAATTTTCTTAACTTTACCAAGGCTTGATTTGTGACCCAAGATATGATCTATCCTGGAGAATGTTCCATGAGGATTTGAGAAGAAAGTGTATTCTGTTGTTTTTGGATGGAGTGTCCTATAAATATCAATTAAGTCCATCTTGTTTAATGCATCATTTAAAGCTTGTGTTTCCTTATTTATTTTCATTTTAGATGATCTGTCCATTGGTGAAAGTGGGGTGTTAAAGTCCCCTACCATTTCTGTGTTACTGTCGATTTCCCCTTTTATGGCTGTTAGCATTTGCCTTATGTATTGAGGTGCTTCTATGTTGGGTGCATAAATATTTACATTTGTTATATCTTCTTCTTGGATTGATCCCTTGATCATTATGTAG